CTGCCTGCTGAGCTGGGTCTGCTAGGGAGGAGGGGCACGAGGGGGAGAGCGCGCAGAGGGCAGGGAGGGCTGGGACTGCGAGGTGTGAGCTGGCCATGCCGGGGCTGGCTGACGGCTGGAGGCCCGAGGCTCTGGATCTCCGGTCCTTGCCTGAGGACCACGGCCGCGCTGTGAGCACCACTCACCGGCGCACAGACCTTCGGGAGGAACCGTCAGTCACCACGGGCTTTCCGGGTGGAGGGACTGGGCAGTAAGTCTGTGGGCATGGCGGGGTGACGAGTTCCGAGAAGGAGGTGACACGGCTGAGCCTGTCCATGTGCCAGGCACTAGGCCAGGCTCTGGGGGTTCGTGAGAGCAGAGATGAGGCGCCCCTGGAGGAGCTCGGGGCTCCCCAGCCTATAGGACGTGGGGAGCGAGCACTCAGCCGTGTCTGGAAGCTGCCAGGAGTGCAAGGCACCTGGGAGTGACAGACAGCTAAGGCTGCTTTAGATGCGGGGTGGCTCCGACATTCTGTCTGACCTGCGGCAGGGTCAGCGGAGATGGAGCCATTGGCAGCACGCAGAACAACTGAGGACAGAGGGCTGCCTGGAGTCGGGGCTGGGCAGGTGCAGGAGGGCTCCGTGGTGTGGGTGGACAGCATGTGGGTTACAGAGGTATCCTGGGGAGCAGGTTGGGCAGGCGGAGGTGGGGCGAGTCACAGTTAGGGTGCCAGTGGGTAGAGCAGAGGGCCAGCACAGGCCCTGGCTGCCTGCTCGGGCCTCTGGGAGTCAGTGTGCCAGGGATGGTGGCCTGAGTTACAGGTGATGGCAGAGCCAGGGCTGCGAGGAAGAGGGGGAAGAGGAGGAAGATGAGGGAGCTGGTCAGGTGGGCGGGCCCACAGCCTGGAGGCAGAGGCAGAGGTCAGCAGCGAGCCACCTGGCAGCCTCAGCAGGGCTCAGACCTCTTTCCCCTTAGCCCACAGGGAAGGAGGGAAGGGGGAAGAGGGAAGGGGGAAAGGGAGCGCCCTGTGCTGACTCAGCGGAGGAGCAGCTCCCTGAGCCCCGTGGAGCTCAGAAGCTCCCTTCCTGCACTGCCCTCAGGCAGGTTAGTTCAACAGTGACCCGGACCTCACTGGCAGGGTTCTCTGGAGCCTGGGGTGCGCGG